GATTTATTCTTCTTCTACTGCCTTTCATTTTATTTGATTTTATTTTGATTGCATGTTTTTTTGTTCTTTGCTATTTTGTGTTACAAATAAAATGAATACATTTCTAAAATAAAAAATAAAAATAAAATAAACAAATGAGGTTGAAACATTTTAAATTTTAAATATGGGCATTATTGGGAAACCATAAGAAAATACGATATTTTAGAATCAGACACTTCATGTTCATTCTCTAAATTGAAAATGGAAAAATAAAGAGGACACTACTAGAATTGAAGCTAATGAACCAAACAGTAAGAGTAGATTGACAATCTCAGAGAATATCTCACTGTAACCAAATGACTCATGGTTAAGCTACGAAAACCTTTAAAAATGCTAATGCGGATTTTCCTGAAGTCACACCTCAGACACACCCACCCAAAAATACCTGTGCTCAAACATGCGCACACTCTTACTTACATGCAACGTCGCTGAGGGTTTCCCAACACCGGAGTTCCTGCCGTGACTCCCCACGGCGACGATGCGAAGGTAGCTCGGACGAGACAGAGCGCAGACCTGTCCGCTTGGCTCCACGAAAAACAGCTGCACCCCTGAGGGGATAAAAAGCAGCTCCTTCTCACTTGCTGCTGCTCGGGCCGGCCAGCCTGTCCACAGGCCGTGGTGTCCATTTGTGGGCTTTGGTGTGTACGCTGGGGGCAGGTCCCCTGAGTGGTCCATGGTGACAGGTTCCAGAGCCTCTGCAGGGACTGTGTGTGTGTGTGGGACAGCAGGGGCAGCAGGACTGATGAGGGCTGTGCTGGGGGCTGGGGATGCAGCTGGCACGGTGGGGTACAGATGGTGGAGAGGATTATTGGAGGGTTGACTGCTAGCTGTCAAGTCTGGATACATATTAGAAGTCAAATCAATCAAAGGTGCATCATTTGTGTTTTCTGGTGGCATTTCCATTTCAGAAAGGTGGGCGTTAACAGCCTCCAACATGTCCTTCATCTTCTGCTGAAGCCCCCTGGCCTTGTCCCAGGCCTGCCCGCGGCGCCTCTGCCCTTGTGTAGGTACCTCCATGCCCTGGGTAAGATGCTGACGAGCCATCCTGTAATAGGACATGGCTTCTGTTTTCTTGTTGGCCTCTTCAGCTTCCAGACCTCGGTTCAGGCACTGACAGGCAAACGCATGCTGGTCCTTGATGACCAGCAACTCAGCAGGATCAACCATACTGAGGGGCAAAGAGCACACAGAAAATAGTAAATAGATGATTTAAATTCATCCTAAGTGTGTAATAAATTGCAGGAAATGTGTCTAAAAAGAAAATGGCATTAAAATTGTGATTTTCTAATAGAATACAGATTGGAATCCCACCGGCAACAATTGTTGCCAGACATTTTGTTTTGCTTCTGGAAGCTCTAAAAGTGTTATTTTTGGCTTTGTGCAGCTAATTTAAGTTTTACAACAGTATAACAGGCTATCTACTCTTAGTTATATCAATTTCCTGTAGTTAGTGTGAATGGTCACATGACCACACCCCTTGACTTCCTGCCTGCCCTGCCGGAGGGAAAAGTCTACCTCAAACTGGTACAAAATGGAGTGAATAAAATATCTTAATAAACACATATAATGGAAATATTTTGTACATATATTCTTTAAAGAGTCTTCTGCTGAGATATATTGAGAAATTTATGCTTGCATGCGTCTTTTGATCGTAAGGAGTGTGAATGTAAGCACGGCAACAATTGTTGCAGCTAGTATAACACACGGAGCTATGCTAGCTGTCAAAGGTTTGACTATTTTATTTCTCTTAGAGGGTTTTTTTTTTCATTCAGCTTAAAACCATCAGATGGTTTAGATCTTTCAAATCTGAAAGAACCCCAAAAATGATGTGTGTTACATCAGGGGGTCCCAAACTTTTCCATGATATAGCCCCCCAAACAGCATAAGCGTTTGGCTGGGGACCCCCTATGCAAGTCTACAAACAATGCTACAAAATATGTAAAATGTTAACATGTTGTTTAAATCACTTTTTATACTGTAAGTATTATATTTGTTTAACATTAAAATTTTATTAAATGAAATGTGTTAAACACTATTATAATCCCACTGACAAACCAGCTGTTGACAATGAGAACAGAACAAAAGGAATCAAATTGCTCTCCTAAATAACATTTCAGTATATTTTTATAAATTATATTTTCAAATAATGATTGAAAAATAGATTCAATTTCACGATAATAATTTAAAACATTCATTAGATATAAATTTTAGGTTTTAGCCTTTTTTTCTCCTTATCCCCTCCAGCTCTCTGAGGACCCTATAATGCTCTCTGGTGACCCCCCCGGGGGCCGTGGTCCCCATTTTGAAAAACACTGTGCTACATCACAGTCATTCCTACTGTTAAACTTGTACCCATGCCTTGTTATAACATGCTATGCATGTTATTGTTATTTATATTTTTCATGTATTGTATTTGTATGTATKTATTTGTGTCAGTTTAGACCAGTGTTTTCCAAAGCTGGGGTTGGGACCCAAAGTGGGGTCCTGAAACATCAAGGTGGGGTCCTGAAATGATTTTCTGAATTAATTACATTTTTGCCTTAGTTTTTACAAAGGAGTGAGGYTAGTATATTTGAAATGGATAAATGTAGTATAAAATATTGTTACTATGCCCATGTTTTGTTGACCTGATCCAAATGTTTATCATCCAAAAATAGCTGGGGGCACAGGTCTCTGCTACTGTTATTTTGTGGGTCAAAAGCTGAAAAGTTTGGGAACCACTGCACTTTGGTTCCCAAAGTTGGGCTTGGGACCCAATTATGGGTCATGAAGCACCTTGGATAATCACCAGAAATCAATTTAAAGGGTAATAAAATAATTGCTGATGTAATATTTTCCCTATAAYTATTACAAAAACACAAAATAAGTATAAATAAGTATTTATATTTGTGTACAAGCTGTTTAGATAGTCAGAAAGCCTGTGTTTTTAGGGTATTAACAAAGTTTGTGTACTCAGACCAGCAATATTTGGGGTCACAAGTTGCCATGGATATTTAGTGGGTCAGAAGATCAAAAGTTTGGGAACCACTGGTTTAGACTATGCTGTTTCCCACCGGCAACAATTGTTGCCAAGTACAAAACCTACATTTTCACTAACACAATCAACATAAAATGAAAAAAAAAAATCATAAATATTATGTCTTAGGGAGGTCTAAGGAATGAATTGCATGCAGTTATTTTTGCAGGGAGAATTTTGGGATGAAATTAATTAATTAAACGAACAAAAACACGGAGTTAAAAAGTTGTCATTTAGAAAGACAAACAAAAGTGCAAAGCTTACCTGTCAACAAGGTGAACTACTAAATAAAAAAATACTTGGAGGCTGAAACCTTATTACGAAAACACATCTGAGTACAATCTCAGTCGTGCAATTGTTTGGCAAACAAGTTTTTCCAGACCAGCAGCAGGAGGAGTCACGCGCGATACTTCCTTACTTATTTGTTTATTTATTTATTTTAATAAGTAAAGTTCTGTTACCTTCACTGGGAAGCGCTGAAATCCCGCGAAAATGGGGGAAAAAATAGCAACAAAATAATGTTTAAAGATTTTTAAACATATTTTCACTGTTTCTTCAAAGTTGAAAATTTAGTCATGTATTTTCTCATTCCTCTCAAGAGCGCCTGCACAGAGAGGCAACGACTTCCGGGAACATACTTTCAAAATAAAACTCAGAACGAAAAGAAAATTAGGTAACAAAGTTTGTTTACTGAAAGTATTCATGGTCCATGGTCAATCGTGACTCTGCAGATATTAAATGTTGTATTTCAGTTTTTTTTCTTTTAAAAATGAGAGAAAATGACAGCCTTAACTCATGGCAATTGATTTTTAGAAATATATGGTCCTTACTGGAGAACATAAACATTTGACCACATAATGCCTCATTTAAAAAAAAGAAAGAAAAAAATGCAGCAAAGTGCACAATTCGTTAAGCTCTATTATGAATTCAGAATATATACATTTCAAACACAAAAAAAGTTTTAATTTTCATAAAAACAACTTTATTTCTATAAGATTTGAACACAGAACTTTTATATTGGAGAAACAATTATGCAACAATATGTGTGTTTGTGAGAGAGAGAGAGAGAAAGAAAGAAAGAAAGAAAGAAAGAAAGAAAGAAAGAAAGAAAGAAAGAAAGAAAGAAAGAAAGAAAGAAAGAAAGAAAGAAAGAAAGAAAGAAAGAAAGAAAGAAAGAAAGAAAGAAAGAAAGAAAGAAAGAAAGAAAGACGGGTTTTGGTTTTGTTTTTCTTGAGAAGGGAAGTTTCTGTGCTTACATAAAAAGAATTCAAAGCATGATGTTTTGAAGTCTATATTTACACAGTTTAAAAGGCCATTCAGTGAAACACAACACATTTTTGCATTATATTACTTTGTGTTTTATTAAGTATCAGGTTAAAATAAGCTTTACAAACACAAAAGAAACACTTTGTAATGCAAATCATAAAAAGCTCATATAACTTTAAAAACATCCTGTGATTTTAAACCATATATTGTAATATTGATAAATGTTATTTGATTATGCATAAGCTAAAGACGATAAAGAAATACACCTAAAAATAGTGTCTACATGTGTGATAGGGATGTGGTGTGATTGACAGTTTGCTCTTGGTTTATTGTAACCATGAGCCGACAGGATCAAGGTGCAGCAGTAAATCAGAGGTGAGGCAGAACAGCAGACGGAGTGATCCCTGAAACACAACAATATCTGTAAAGGAAAAACAGATGCATTCATTTAAACATGTCAAAATCAGAGCGTGCAACCACAAACACCTCAAAAGCTTTAGGTTTCACGACTAAAAATCAGGTATGTCACAGCTTACTTTGAGCTTTTGTACTTRTCCCTGATGGCCTGCTCAGGCTGGCTCTCTGCACTCGTGTGTAGTTTGTGGAGATCAATCAGGCAGGGCATGATTTCAGCCAAGGTGTAACCAGTAAAGGAAATTAAGGAATCGGGCTAAAATGCAAAAGTAATATATGTACTGTAAAAAGAAATCACATGAAATAATCTCAGTGGTCAAACTCACCCAGAGCGTGTTGTTTATGGTGTGGGTGGCTAAGCAGTAAGCTCCAGCTGCCAGTATAGACGGGATGTACTGCAAGAATGGATCCATTTCCAGCATGCTTAACTCTGCTATGTACTAGGAACAGAAAATACACRAATAAAGAGGACAGAAAACGTTTTGTTTTCTGTAGATTCGATTGATTTAATGCGTACCAGAGCGAGGTTCTCTGTGTTCGAACATATGGGGTGAACGGACATGAAGAGGTGAAGGAACTGGTTTGTTGTGGGCGCTGACAGCCTGAAGGCCAGCACCCGGAACAGAGAAAACTCCATCTGAAGCAGCTGTTTCTTAGTGTAGGTGAAATCTGTGATGTACACAAACTCATTCAGCTCAGGGGGGGTGATCTCCTCATACTTCCTACAAAGTAAAAAGAGAAATTAATGTCTAGTGTGAATGCTGAATCAGCATTATCTATTGGTTCATAGTTTATTCAGTATATTACTTTGGACTCAAACTACTACATAAGTTGTGTTATTTGATCTGTTTATCAAACATTCGACTTGTTTAGGAATTAATTGCTAAGACTTTTTGTATTTGTAACATTTTTTGAACTTTCTAACTTTATTTACAAAATGTTCTCCAAAGAAATACATTGAGATCTTATCATTTTTTCTAAAATCTCCTTTAGTATACTTGCACTGATTTTCTTTCATAGGCTTCTAGAT